ACATAAACATTAACACTAATTACCTGTAGTAAATTTTCTTCTTCACTAAGATGTTTTTCTACTTTTTTATACAAATGATCCAAGCCTTTTTTTACCTCTCGCCCATGATACTCTTTAGTTACTTTCCTTAATTCTTGTTTACTAAAAGCCACTTGATAACCAACTTCTGATTCTTTAATACCTTGAGATACCTTAGCTTCAACGCCTTCAAAGAATAACTTAACATAAAAAATTTTTTTAGAAATTATTAACAAAGTAAGTGCAAATTTTTATAGTATAAATGAATTATACTCACATTTAGTTTTTCAAGAGGTCTACCAAAATAACGAGTTACATAAGCACTTAATGCCTCACTATATTTTTGTTTTGCATCTTTTCTGAACTGATCTAATATACCAATTTTTAATTGAGACAGCAATGCATACAAATGGTGAAAGTTCTCTAGASTCATGAATGAACTATTAATATTAATTTAGTTTAAATTTAAAGGTATTTATGGTTCTTACCCATTCTGATAACTTCAGCAGGAGTCTTAGGATGTTCGCTTGCAATTGAATGAATAGTTTCAAACATTACAGTTAAGAGTTTAAGATACCATTTATCTAAATCAGTTCGACGTTCTGTTTCTTTAAATATTTGTTCAGCTGTTTTAGCAAAATACTACAAAAATTGACAGTAAACAATAAAAAAAATTCTAAGGTAGCTTTAACATTGAGTCAAATTACTAAGATTAAAAACAATATTATAATTACTTCAAAGTTTGCAACAAAAGGAAGTATGCCACATTTAGACTTTTTAATAATTCTTACATCTTGAATTGATTTTAAGTGAGCATGCATGAGTTTATCATAATTTCTTTTAACATGAACTAATGCAGAYCCATAAGTCATACTTAAAAAGGAGCCTGTGTCATTCGCAGACATTACATGACGGCCTAATCTTACTAAAACAGCCATTGAATAACTAAATAATATGTTTTTAATAAATTAATATTATTTTAAATAAGTTAAAAAGATTTATAATCATAGTTACGTGCTATCCATTCTTTCATGATATTGAATAAATCCAATCAACTCTGGTTCTATACAAGCAAAAATTTCACCCATCATTTTTCTAACTTCTTCATTAATTTTTTTTTCAATTTTAGTCTTTGGTAAAGATGGTAATATTTCTTGGTTTGATTTTACATCTACTCCATCCAAGGTTGTTTGAGTATTCTAAATATATWAAAAAAAGGTATAATGTTTACTGTTTAGTGTTATAATTATAGAATAATATCTAAAATGTTAAAGTACATTATATTTTATAAGTTTATAAATTAAATGATGKTATATTTATCCATAATATGAAAGATAGYTCCAAAAGTATGGTAAACATTTATAAACCACAATATTCAGCATATAATATTTTAGTTCATACCCACTCTTAATCCCCTTAATATAATAKAATATAATAGATATAATAATATAAATATAATTTTTGTTTTTTGTTTTGCTTACCATATTAATATATTTAATTACCTACCCACCCAAAAAAATTCCATRTTACCTAGGTCCTAGGCGTTATAAAACACTGTTTAGCACGCTATTGATTAACTCTAAAGAAAAGCCAAAATATTTAGGTTTGACAATTATTCCACAAGGTAAACAGTGCAAGACAAAACTTAAATTTGAACCAAAATCATAATTTATGCATTAAAATTATTAACAGTTAATACAAATTATTTACTAAAATTAGATAAGTAACGGTATTGTAAATCTTATACTTTAGTAGTAGGGCTGAGTATATCCAATTGAAAAAATGAAACACAAAAATTTTGTTCTGATAAACAAATTGGTTCGAGTTCAGAAAGAACTGCTTCCAATACTTGGTCAAATCTTTGCCGTTCTTGAGTATCACTTTCTTGAGTCCAAAATTCTTTGTCTACGCCTAATAACCAATCTGATGGTGGACCAGTAGACTTTCTAATATCTTCTTTTGAATTAGATAAATGACCTAACATCAAAACAGTTATTTAATACATTAATTTGGTGTAATATCATCATATTCACAAGTTTTTCAAATAACATAAAATAGCTACTTAATTTATTTCCCAAAGCAATTATATAATTTCAAATTACATATAGACTATATAATAAATAATAATGTTTATTGTTTGATATATTTTTTTAATTATACTGAAGTTACTTACTTTAAGTGTAAAATATACTAAATAATAAGTAATACAAAAATGAAATTAAAATCAAAAAATGTATAGGAATCAAATTATTAAATAATAAATTTAAGTAACTAATTTTTCATTAAATGTTAATTAAATAATTAAATTACCAGCATTTATTCTCAATTTCGCATCTTCTAAAAATAATTTTATATCCCTTTCATAAAGTTTAGATAAAGATGTTGTATACACTTTAGTAAGTGCCAAAAAAGATTTTCTATCCATTGCTTTACACCAATGCATTAGTTCGGTATAAGCAGCAAGTTCACGATGCAATGAAGTATGTTTCATGATGGTTAATTCATTGTTGGAATTTCTTTTTGATTCTCCAACATCATTTCCCTAAAAATTAAAAGTATACACTATATTTTAATATTTTATACATTAACATATATAATACACATAGATTGAAAGATTTTTTTATAAGCGTGTAAAAAAATTATTAGTTACTTGTTTTTAATTTATTTTTTAAATAGTTTTTCATTGTTGCATTAATTTTATTTCTGCAATGATTTCTTAAAATAAAAAWAAACTTTTAATTTTCTTAGAATAATCCAAGACTCAAATTACAAATTCTTATTCTTTAAGAAGATGCTACACCCATGTGTGTTGTCTTGGTCTTACAGTGGTATTACATAACAAATTGTATGTTCACAATA